TGTCCGTTCTCCGTCTGCTGTTCTTGTGAATTTGAACAGTACTAGGGCTGAGGCTGATGATGTTTCACGAGCACATGAGAACGCAAAAGTACACAGATTGAGAAACAGCCAGTGTCTTTTCTCCAATTAAAACAGATTAAAGGTTTTATTTTTCTGAAATAGTTTGAGCAAAAAAATATAAATTAGTTTACTACCACTTGAGCATGCATACTGTTTTCAAAAACATTGTCAAAGAGCAGGTTACTCTAAGGAGCTCAGTGAATTCCAGCATGGAACTTTGATAGCACCGTATTTTCGCGACTATAAGGCGCATATAAACGTCTTTTTTTCCCCTCAAAATGTGCGGCGCGCCCTATAGTGCGGTGCGCTCTATGTGTGTTGTTACTGCGGACGTTGTTGAGACCACCATGACAACGTTAAAGGGGGAAGTGTGGGCGTGGATTGTTTAAAAAGAACAGGTATGTGCTTTATGCAGAACATTGTTATTAAGGCAAATGAAAAGGGCTGGATGGATGAGGAGATGGTGAAAGAGTGGCTGAGGGAGGTGTATATAAGGAAGGGGTTTCAGGGGGTGACCTGGGGGTTCAGGACTCTGGTAGTCTATCAGGGTTGTGGGTCCTGGTTGGATCTCTGTAGCAGAGGTCGGGTGTCTGATTGGGATGTAGGCCTGGAGCGGGGGTATCTTGGGGGGCCTTGTTGCGGTGGCTCTAGCCCTGGGCTAGGTGGCCGGTCTCCTCAGACATGGGTTGGGCCCTGGGCCCTGGGGTCTGAGTTCTGCCTCTCAATCCCAGGGGAGGTTCCCCCCTACCTTCTTCCCCCCTGTGGCCCTATGGCTTCCTGGGGGCCCTCTGATGTGTCTGGGCACTCTGGCTCTCATGGCTTGTGCTCTCGGCCTGTGTCTGGGGTTAGTGCCCGGTTGGTCTCCCTGGGATTTTTTGCTTCAGTGGCTGCTGTGGGACCGGGTCTAGGGGCGCTCTCTGCCTTCTTCTGAGCACTGGGGAGGGGGACTTCGGCTGGTGGCCCCTCTGCATCCTAACTGAGCACAATCTGGAAAATCAGGGCAGCAGGTTCTCATTCTTTCACACATGCACACACAGTCAGTTACTCTGACATGCAACTCCGTAAGCTTCTGTACAGCTGCTGCATAATCCTGAGAAGCTCACGGTCATCACCGCTACTGGTTGCTGTTGCTCTTGTTGCTTGTTTGTCCTTTTCATTTCCCTGTGCCCTTTTGAAGGAGCTCCTAAAGGCTGTCCAGTTGGATTGCCCACAAGAAACAGTTTCTTTTTTTTTTAGACATAGTAGCCTATTTTATGGTTTTGTTGTCTTTTTTCTCTTTCTCTCTTTCTTTACAAATGAATAATTTCTTTCCTTTCCACTGCTTTTCTTTCTTCTGTATCTCTGTCCGGTTTGGCATTATTGGTCACGTTTAAATTTGAATAGATTAAGTAGTTTTGGGTAATCACGGGGTGCTTCTCAACAACAAAGCATCCCTTGGCAAAGCAAATTTGTTGGATATAGCATGGTACTCAGATTTCAGTTCTCCTGCCATAATGCTGAACAGACCAAAAAATAAATAAATAAATACAATTCTGCCACGCTTATCCCTGCTGGGATCGTGACGGGTGCTTGTGCATATCTGCAGCTGTCAATGGGCGAGAGGCGGGGCACACCCTTGAAAACACAGAGACACAGGACTAACAACCATTCAAGCACACAAGACCTAAGGAGAATTTAGAAAAGCCAATTAACCTAACAATCATGTTTTGGACTATGGGAGGAAGCCAGAGTACCTGCAGAGAACTCACGCGTTCATGGGGAGAGCATGGAAACTCCATGCTGAAGCACTGTATGCTGGGAATCAAACCCAGAACCTTCTTGCTGCAAGGGCTTTACTAAAAATCTAAGTTCAAATTCCTCCCTGATTTAAATACTAAAAAGCCTGCACCTTGCTTAACAATCATACAGTGATTCAAAATAGTATATTTAGCTATTTTTTTCATGTTTGTTGCAGACTAATATGGTTTGTTAGTACCTTCCTAGCTCAAATGAATCACATTTTAAATAACAAATGCTTTAAAAATCTAAAAAAGCAAGCCTAATGTAAGACTCAATCATTTACATTTTTGCACATTTAACCAGAGCATTGCTCAATTTTAAAAGTAAAATATATTTTTTTCTTTCCCATACCTGCCCTTATAATTGCCTGGCATTGGGACTTGTTAACCTTGAAACTTTGTTAAGTCTGTACAACTATTGATACATTAACAAGAGAATATGGGCGACTGCCCATAAAAATGAATCACAAAAGACCAACCACAAGTGTATCTAAAAACCATAACAGATGACACAAAAAGGTGAAAAAATACACATTTTGTCTAGTGCTTTGAAAAAGGACATGATGTGGAATCTAATCTAATCTCAAACATCAACACCTCATCCAATGTTACAGAAGGAGTGTTGAATTTATGTTTTTGAAACCCATTGCTTATGTTTCTGGTCTATAAAGATTTATTTTCAGAAACATTACTGACAACATATGTGTTGCTGTACCTGACTTCATTGCTTGACATCATATGCTTCATGAATCATTATTCAGCAGGTGGGATTTTGTTTTATGACTGAAATGGGCCACTTCGTCACAGTTTACTGCAGGTAATCTAAATGTTTTCTTTCTGTTTGTTTAGTGTTTGAAGGTTGTGTCGAAAGCTGCAGAGTAAAATTTGGAAGCAAACTTCCAGGAAACATTGTTTTTAGAAAGCTTTTATGATATCTCTATTCTTTTCTGCAGTGCATGTGTTTTTGCCAGCTAAACTTTCTAATCTTACAGTTTTACTTCTGCAAATATTATTAAAAGTTTATATTATTAAAAGGTTATTCTATTGCTGCATGTACCTACATAAACGTTTATACTAAATAAGATTTCGATCTGAGGGCAAAGTCTTGATATTTTATGTGAATGTGCATGCATCATTAAGAACATTCAAATGAGCATGAATCGAAACATGAAAAAAAATAATATATTGTGGAGAATTTCTCTGTAATATGTGTATATCATTTGTACTGGGATAAGAGTGTCAGCTTCTGTTTATAGTTCCTTTTTCATCAATGGATGTATACAGTATTCTGCAAACCTAATGACATAGTTGCCCAAAGTGGTAAACTAATTATTAGCTGTGATGTAACCTACTCTAATTATTTAACATGCCGAGTGTTAGTAAATCTGTTGTAATGCAGAGAGCATCTGCATTGCAAATAATAAAAAAAGCCCTGTTTTGGAGTCATTGTTCAAATATTTGCATAGTACTTACAGTGATTATTTAGCTGTGATGGGTGTTTAACATTTATGGCATCTTCAATATGCTCATGTCTATACCTGATAGTTTGAAGAGAATTCACTTAAATAATGTGAGGAACCGCTGTACCGGAAGGCTATTTATTTAAAACTTTTTTTTTTCTGTATTTTAAATAAAATGAAAGCCAGAAAAATTGGGTTGAGGTGTTAAAATGCATATTTGGGGGTAAGGAGGCAAGGAGGGATTTCTACAAACTTTCCTTTAATAAAAGAATTATTAAAGGTGTTTGCTTCCTAATAACCTGAGCATTTTGAACAAAGACAGGTTTTATTTGACATACGTACACAGTGAACTGTTGTCATCACATCCACCAATGTATTTACGAGGATCAAGACATACTGCTAGCCTCTATTTTTACTAAACACCACACAGGACAACTCTTACAATAAAAACACTTCTTGACCTTTGGTATAAAGTTTCCACTGTACTCCAAAGTGGAATAGCTTTTATTTGTGGGTGCTGAGTCTTTGTTTTTTACCACAACACTTCTTCAAAGTCTCCCTTTGTCCCTTTGAAGACAGACTGAAGGTCTTACATCCAGAGTAGACTGAGAATGAAAGGATGAACTCTGGAAAGAACTTGAAAAATGTCTAATTTTTTCTTCTGCTTGGGGCACTTAACAACCCATTACATGCTCACTTACTGCAAATGACATCGTGCTACCCTCATGTGGTTCACTGGAACAGAACCGAGTACACAAGTGGCAGGTCAGCGCTTCACCTGAGGCTCTCTGCCATCTCAGATGACCTTCAGAACCTCAACACCAGCATGCCATTGACCAGACAAGGTGCAGCGAAGAGAAAACACCTTGCTATTTAAGGTGTCTCAGAATTGTTGACTGTGCACTGAAGGTCCAGTGGCAGAGGTCTTTTTAATAAGGTTTAAAGGTCAGTAGACTGGTGTTTTGATTGTGTTTTGCCAATGTGTTCCTGGGAGTTAATGGTTTATCCGAGCTTCAAGGTGCTAAGTGAACCAGATCCAGCTTGGTTTTGCTTTGCTCCATCAGAAACATTTCAGCTGTGTTTTTACAGATACCGGATTTAATCCTTTTAATTTGTTTGAAAATAATTTTAACCGCATGGAAAATCTCTACCAAAACAGTTTTTTGTTCTTTTTAATTTCACACAAGAACACACTCTTTAAATCATCATTAGACACAAACCTAAGAGACTGTCTTTCTGTCCTTGTGGCAAAAATATCCCACATATCCTCAGAGTTAGAACTGTATAAAGACGTTTTAAAGTTAAAGCACATTTTACAGACCAATTTTTTTTTAATATTATGCAACTGAAATCTTAACTAGCTGTTTAAAAGTAAGATCAGATTTCTCTGTGAAACATTAGCACCAGCTACACTTATCACCTAGACTCTATCTTGTGTTCTAAAGTGTTCCTACTTCTCATACAGTAGTTCAGATTACTGATCTGCTCACTTGTTGTGGCTGATATTTTCTGCCTCAGTGACCACATTCACATAGCCCCACCTAATTTTAGTAGTTAAGGGGATTTTTTTTGTATTCTAGAACAATATATGAAGTTGCTGGAATTAGATTTTAAATTCTTTCACTTCCTAGTTTGCATCATTTTCATTCATTAAACCTGCAGAATTACCTAAAAACAGCAGATTTGCTGCATTGCTTCTTACCGTGTTGCACAAGGAAATGAAGAGCTGGCTGCAGGACTTTCTGTCCTTGGTTGCAGAGCTTCTCTGAACAGTCACCTGCAGGAATGAGCCGTCTCACACGTCACAGCAAAAACTGAAGATTAACACCTCCCTTCAACATCACATGATGTTTGTTGGGCAGGTGTCAGTCAGAGTGGGTAAGGATAAATGTTAGCCTTCAAGATACTGTTATGGGTCTGTGTGAATGCAGGCTGGTCCTATCAAAAGATTTGTTATATGACATCTTAAGAACATCTATTTTATTGACCCCATCTACTCCAATTAATACACATAATATTTAGACATTAGGGTCGACTTTGTTGAAATAGTTTGAACCTAATGATTTGTTTTCTATACTGTTCATGCAATTGTTACTTTATTTGAAAAGCATCAGACTGGTCAATTTTCCCAAGGTAATTATAAGAATAATGCACAGGATGGGCTTTTTTTTTATTCTTTGTGTTGAATTAGTTACATCAGATAACTTGATCAACACTGCTTCGCCTTTTGTCCCTTTCCTTCAGAGTATTCTGGTATTCCCTGCTTGAAACTCCATAGAGAGGTCAGCAAAGATAACTGCTCACTTACCTTTAGACTGTGCTGCAAAGAAACTCTGCTTATTGTCTGAAACATAAAGCCTCACTGCAGTTTCAAGACTAGAGATAAGCACATTTTCTGCTGCTACAGGAAGAGACTTAGACAACATTTATCATCATTTTGTATACACAGGGTGTATACAACACGTAATTTCTTTTTGCACAACTCTCATGACTGTTCCATTTTCTGAAAGTGCAGCAGTAATCAAATGTGAACATTGTGGGAGAAAAAAAAATATATGGTCAGATTGATGCAGAGTCTGTGACATGATTTAGAGTTTTTTCAACATGCAGCTGTCTAATGGCGTTGGGGAAGAAGCTGTTTCGGAATCTGATGGACCTGCATTGAATGCTGCAAAGTTTCTTCCCAGAGGACAGCTGGGAGAACAGTCCATAGTGGGGGTGTGAGGGGTCATTGATAATGTTACAGGCTCGGGACACGCAGCAATGGGATGAAAAGTCTTTCATGGAGGGAAGAGGAGTCTCGATTATCTTCTCTGCTCTTCTCTCCACTCTCCTCACCTTCTTCCAGTCTGAGGCACTGCCGCCTCCACACCACACAGTGAGACAGCTGGTCAGAACACTCTCTATGGTGCTTCTGTAGAAGGTCCTGAGGATGGGTGGGGGCAGGTGGGCTCGCCTCATACTCCGCAGGAAGTATATACGCTTTTGTGCCTTTTTGACCAGTGAGGTGGTGTTTACAGTCCAGGTGAGGTTGTCTGTATTGTACACCCCCAGGAATTTGGTGCTGCTGACCACCTCTACAGCTGAGCTGTTAATGAGCAGTGAAGCGTGGTTAGGACGATTCTTCCTCAAGTCAACGATGATTACCTTCATTTTCTCCACATTCAGGATCAGGTTGTGGTCTATGCACCAGTCCACCAGCTGCTCCACCTTCCCTCTGTAGTCCTGGTCATTGTCGTCTCTCTGCCCACCAATGTGGTGTGATCTGCAAACTTAACAATGGGATTGGTGGTGAACCTGGGGACGCAGTCATGTGTTATCAGAGTGAACAGCAGGGGGTTCAGTACAAAGCCCTAAGGGGAGCTTATGCTTAGAGTGATGATATCAGAGGTGTTCTGTCCGGACTGTCTGAGGTCTGTTTGCGAGGAAGTCTAACAGCCAATTTCAGAGGGGTGTATTGAAGCCCAACCGATCCAGTTTTCAAATCAGATGCTGTGGAATGATTGTGTTGAAAGCTGAACTGAAGTCCAGGAACAGCACCCGCACATGGGTGTTCTTCTCCTCTAGATGTGCTAGGCTCAGATGAAGAGCAAAGGAGATGGTGTCTTCAGTGGAGCGGTTTTGTCAGTAGGCAAACTGGAACAGGTTGAATTTTGTGGGAGACTGGAGACGACATGCTCTTTAACCAGCCTTTCGAAGCACTTCATCATGATAGGAGTAAACATGACAGGCCGGTAGTCATTGAGTGAGGTGAGCTGAGGCATTTTTGGGACCGGGATGATAGTGGCAGACTTGAAGCATGCTGGCACAATGCATTGATCCAACCAGGTGTTGAAAATGTCTCTGAGGACACCAGCTAGCTGCCCAACACACTCCTTGTATACCTGCCCAGGTATGTTATTGGTGCCTGGATTGACTCTCCCCACAGTTTTCCTCACTCCATCTATGTCAAGGTTGAGAGCCTCCTCCCCCGGGGTGAAAGGGCTTTCGCTGCTGGAGTGCTGTTTAGAGACTCAAAAGATTAACTTATTGTGATAACAACAGAGCCACATACATATCTGATTGAAAAAGGAGAGAGTTATGGTTTCTGTTCCAAGTGTTGGACGATGACACAGGTTGTGCTTATGCTATTTTCTCATCCGTGTGATGAGCAGATAGCATAATGCATTGTCTTGAAAGAGATAGGTGCAAGTTCAAGAGTTTTTGCAGATGTTTGCCCCCTCTGGCAACTTATTAAAATGACATCAGTCTTGTGCACAAACAGAGTAAAACGAAACCCCATTTTTTCGCTGCAACTGAACAGGTATTAAGGTATTTCCACAAGAATAATTCAACAGATTCATGTTCTGACACTCATCGGACACAGGTGAAGTCTTTATTTTCCAGGACTATTATACAAGGTTATTGCACAGGGTATTACATAGTAAATGCACATTTGATTTTGCACAAGTTATCGCCATAATAGTGTTGCATTATAGAGTCTGATGCGGGTGATTGTACTGTGGTAGCGCACCTTTTTCCTAGCACTCCTGAGGAAGTGGAGGCTGGCCTTGCTTTTTTTGTACAGGGCATAATTATAAGTCCAGTCCAGTTTATTATTGCCGTGAGCACCCAGGTATTTGAAACCCTCCACAGTTTCTATGTCCTTCCCCTGGATGTTCATGGGGGAGTGTGGTGGGGCTCTTCTCCTGAAATTGATCACCATCTCTATAGTCTTACTGTTGTTAGGACACAGGTGGTTTCTCTTACACCAGTCCACCAAGTTAATGATGACCGACTGGGGTCTGATCTAAAGTAGATGAAAACGAAAACTGTCATTGTTAGTCTTGAAGGAAAGTACTGCCTACTAAGAAAGACTGAGCTCTGCCATTTAACAAGGTGACAAAAAAGTCTCAGCTTATTTTTATTCTTAAGCTCTGAGGGCAGAGGAGGACAAATGAAAAATCTTAAAAAAGGACTTTCATAAAGATTTTAGACAAATAAAACAACTATTCTACATGTAGGAAATTAATGGTTGTTGTAGTGTGCTTACTGATCGAGATAAAAGAGGCTAACCTTTTAGCTACTGAACAAAGCTAGCCACAGAACTACCCAGCTCTCCCCCTTTATATCATGGTCTAACAGTTGCTTTGTTCACCATAAACAGATTTTCTCATTTTTGTTATCGATAAGTCAAAACTTAAGCCACGCTAACGCTACCAAAGCTCCGACTGGGTACATGGACGCTGCATCATGTTATTATCATTGTCTGGGCAACCACTATGTTTTACATCACATGACAACGTTCAGCGGGATGGGGGTGCGGGGGTGATGGGGGAGTGGTTGTTTTGTAAGAGTGGTGTAGAGCTGTTCCTCCATCTTCCTCCCATAGTCCTTCTTTGCAACCCTGATCCTCCATTGGAGCTATAGCTGCACCCTACGCCACTCTTCTCTTTCCCCTTAGTTGAAAGCTCTTTTTTTGTGGTTCAAGAGGACTTTCAGCTCAGGGGTCACCCAGGGGTGGTTGTTAGGAAAGCTCCTTAGCCATCATGTAAGAACAGGGCGATCCATTCACAAGGTCATGTAGTCAGAGATGGAATCAGTCTGGTAGTTTATGTCATCACCATAAGAGCTTTGGTACATGCTCTAGTCTGTGGTTCTGAAACAGTCCCTCCATTTCTATTTACGTTGGAAAGGCAATCAAAGCACTCAATTTACATCCCTGGACTACCACTGAAGGCTAACAGGAAGAGACTGAAGCAGGGTTGCAGTACATTGGAGATGTCTGGCAGGCAGAGAGAGAGCTAGAGCATGGGATAGGGGGTGGCTGGCCAAAGACTAGCTCTGGAGTATAACAGCAAGTGATCCGAGTTGGAGAGCAAAACCTCTTAAAGATATAGTACACCCAAAACATGATTAGCCTTCATTTTCTACTCACCCCCATGCTGAACAACACTCTGGAGTACTTTTTTGATATCTCAAATGCATCTGGAGATCTGGGAGGCTTCTTGCTGTCTGCGCATTCAGCTCGGCAAAGAACTCATGCTCTTCCTCAACACTGAAGTCGTCAGGCATTTTTCTTTCGTTGTTTCTTTCTTTTCACAGGTAAACAGCACGTTTCTTCTTCTACGCTTGCATTATCGGCAGAGCAGACGCTGAATGCGCACTTTCATCTGGTTTGGTCTGCCGCGGTTTCCGTAGGCTCGTGAACTCGCAGGCGCGCGCTTTTAGGAAATCCTATACACTACTGTTTATGCTCTAAAAACATTCTAAATGACTTCGTTTCGAGTAAATTATGGACGCTACCCACTCAGGACACTTGGAATACATTGGACGAGCAGTATGGAGGAATATTGACACGTTTTTTGTGGACTTTTATGGACGTTTCTGCCTCGGGCGCCATAGACCTCCATTATTTGAATGTCAGCAGACAGCAAGAAGCCTCCCAGATCTCCAGATGCATTTGAGATATCAAAAAAGTACTCCAGAGTGTTGTTCAGCATGGGGGTGAGTAGAAAATGAAGGCTAATCATGTTTTGGGTGTACTATTCCTTTAAGTACATTCCTTAATACATCCTTTGGGAACCTTATTTTCTCTTTTTTCCATTTTGATTAAAAAAGCACTGTCTCTGTTGTACTGCTTCGCCCTATGTCACAGCCACATTGAGTACATGTTTGGTTGTTGCAACTTAAAAATACACAAAAGTTCATATTTTTTTTAGCTCCTGACAATTTTGTTCCATGTCATTGACTGATGTGATTTTGTTCTTGCTTCACTGTTATTAGCAAAGAATTTACTTTTGCCTTAGGGAAACATGTAAATCGGTCACTAAAGATTTTTAAAATGTTTCCACTGTA